TCCCTTGCATTTTACTCAAGTCCTAACAAGCAAGTTCTTTTCTCACAACTTTGAATCCCCAAAGAAACATACACTGTTGACAAATTAAATCTGAACATTCTTTTTTTAAGTAAGCAATGTTTCGTAGTGAAGTCACAAATTTTAAGAATAATTAAAACATTTTATCCACAAGTACAGCTACAAATGATATTTTAATCACTTTTCAAAATACAAAATCTAAAGACTAATCTAAATCTAAAGACCTATTACATACATACCCCTGTGTGTTCCAGGATCATGTATAAATACACAAGTGGTGGCTGTGATGCCAATTACATTGGCAAAGCTATACGCCAATTACACCTGCAAGTATGTGGGAGTGTTAAGCAGAATTGGTAACAAAAATATCAAATCCAACAGACTCCACAATCCTCACACATAGTGAAAACAACAACCACACCATCATGATTATGAATTTTAAAATGATCTTATCTGGATCATCCAGTATTGAACATTTAATTAAAGAAAGTTTATCTATTATAAATGAACTCCCAACTTTAATAACACAGCTTCACTACAACTAAGTCTGTTTTGCTTAACTTGTATAACAATTTTTGCATTGTCCTATTTCTTGTTTATTTGTTTGTCTTTTAATTTACTTCATCCTTTTATTCTATATATTAATTACCCCTTAAAAAATGTTTGAACTTTATACATTTTTGTACCTGATATTTTACCCTGTTCAACGTGAAATAGTGCTAATACTAATAGAAGGTCTTGTGTTTATTGACACTGACCATTTATTTACCAGAATTATTAAGTGACCTTGAAATTGTTGATGAAAGAACTTTAATTTTATCATTACGAAGACCTAGAGTAAAGACTACTGAAATCAAATGTTTCTACTTTTAATGCTTTAAATCCTTTAATTTTCTCAAGTGCCAAATGTTTTTGGATCTATTTCAGTTATCTCAGTAAGCTCTTGTGATTAGAATTTTCCCTGTTGGTCAACTAGATAAAATGTGTGTTCATATTTTGTGTATTTAAGATGGCTGTATAAAAGATTGACTTAAAACTTATTTATTTTATGTGCTGTTGCACACATTTTGTTTAAACATTGTACACAAATTCCTAATGTGTTTTCCGAAATAAGCTCAATAAAGCCATGTTGATGTAGATGCAAAACATTGAAAAATATGCTTTAACAAAATCTGTTAAATTAATAACAAGCTTGGGAAGAAAGACGGAAATGAAATTGTGTTTAGGAAAAAAAATGTCAATGTTAAACTGGATACATATCATCATCCAACTATGTGTGACAGAGTATTTGTTTGCTAGTGCATGAATCAGTACGTTTTACATAATTTGTTTAAATCCTTCCAAAACTCTGAACATTTATAATAACATGGTTCTAGTATTTTAGATTATTTTATTTGGTCAAAATAAAGTTCTACTTTGCTGACTAATTGCAGGAATTAACAGCAGAAACAAAATATAGTTCTTGTTGGATATACAAGACTGTTTAGTGTGGACATTGTTATTTAATTTATTTTGTGAGTTAATATTTAATGATTGTTTACTTTTTCATAACATGAGTTAAAAGCAATTATTTTGTGAGAAATGGTTGTGACAAGTGTGGTTGTGTAACTTTGTATGAGTCATACATCGTGTTTGCAATTACATTGTTGTAGAGGCTTAACTAATATTGTTGACATCACATTACTTGAACTTTTAGTATTTGTCACGTTACCTTAACTGAGTATTGTTAAATCATCACGTTATGTAGTTTAGAGAAAATTCTAGAGGTCTCAGTGATCCACATATAAATAGCAGTGACCAAACGAATGCAAGTGAAATGAATGTAAAGTTCAGTTACAGAAAAGTTAGGAAACATGTGAGTGAATAACCATAACGAGCAATATTTTAAAGTTAGTTTTACAGTCTGATAGAGATAAAAAGAAAAATTTGATTTGTCAAAGGGTGTTCTAAAGCTACTGAACCCATCTGTGTGGACATTGATGAAAGAAGACAATTATTTAAAGTTCGAGATACAACTTTGGTAACCCATAGGGTAGCTTAAGTGAATTATTCACTGATACAATTGTGTTAAGAGCAGAGAAAAATAGTTTGTCTTGTCTATTGTATTCTAAAGTAATTGAATCAGCCTAAGTGAACTTTTGACAAGAAAAAGAGAACTGTTTAGAGTTTGAGATATCCATTGCTTAAGGAATTTTTGTACATACATTTAACTTGTTTTAATATATTATTTTAAAACAAGTGGAGTGCGTTCTGTCTGTTTATTGTTCAGGTTTATCAACAAGTCACAGAGTCTTACTGTAGAAGAATCCTCAGCCCACATATTCTTAAAACCCTGAACAGTTTGGTTATTTTCTCATTGACAACTAGTTAAATATTGTAATATGATTAAAACTTTGTTTGTTAGGCTTAAAGGTAACTCAAGTTTTACGTTAGCACAAGTATGCTTGATTGTTGGAAGAGTAACTGCATAATGTTTCTTAATACTAATCACCTTCTAAATATATGAAGTCAGTCAATTTTATAAAATTGGTTAATGTAATTTCAGTTTGCTGATTTGGTAATATAATTTTCAATACTAAAATTATTGACCCATTTTATTGACTTGTTTATATACCATTCTCTGGTGGTGGTGGTGCCTATATGTTTCTTTATATTGAGTAATTTATGTTTTTGTGACAATATTCAGTGTAAAGAACTGACTGAAAACATAAAGTCAAATTACTCAATTTCTGTTTAGTATACATATTGGACTTAAGCAGTAATCAGTGGAATTAATTGCAATATTGACAGTACTTTTATTTAATTTTTTATATGGTTTTAGGTACCCAACAATCACATTTTGCTGAGTAAATATTGTAGTTTAGAAAAATGTTTTTAAAAAACCAGTGGGGTTTATGTGGGCATAAGTAATTCTTAGGTTAAAATAATGAGTGTATAACATAAATCTACAATAGTTACTTCATCAGCACATACAATGACTGGTGAATTTGAGTGACATATTGCCATTATTTTTCAAGCCACTCATATTTATTGGGGAAATTAAACAATGACACAGACATTAATTATTTGAAGCTTTCACAACATACGCCTGTTAAATGTTAATAATCTAGAGAATATAATCTAACAATATTTGAATAGAGCAAAGATTTTGATAAAGAGTATAAATTACTTAATTGAAACAAAAATGAGCTGTAAATACTCCTTTATGCTCTGCATTTTATGACATTTTGGACATTGCTCCAGCAGATTTTACTGAGAATGCAGTACACTATTCTGTATATACTGTTTACCACACACACATTATTTTACACAGGTAGGTTTTCTTTCTCTGTGCCAAAAAAAACAAAAAAACATTGTAATGTCCCAGTATGTTTGATATTGTATATATTTTCCACATATAAGTTACAAATATTCACATGCCCACTACTTAAAAAATTTTAATGTTAGAAGTAAAGTACTAAAATAGCCTAATTTCTTTTAA